ATCACAACCTTGGCGTAAAAAGTGGTGTAAGCAAGTTTCTGGGTTCAAATTGTGCGTAGGCCAGTTTTATAAATCTGACTCCAGGACTGGACACTCCAGAGGTAGACAGAAGACAGTGATCCTTGGTGATAATTCTGCAGATGCAACAGTTTTTTGTTTTATTTAAAAGTCTTAATGAGAATCTCTTTGTATAAATCTAAAATCTCAGTACAAATGTGAAGGTTTGTCTGACATCTTTACAGCWGGTGGTGTTTGGAGCACTGCTCTGTCTCATAAAAAGTGAAGTCCTGCAGAGAACAGCCCTTTGTTTCTGTTTRAATCACATGACGTGCACTGAGGCTGGGCACCTGCAGTCATTACCAACACAGGCGTGCATGTTTCCTGTTCCTCTTGTTTTCATCTTCAGCCGCAGCTTCCTGCTGTGCACTGACAGATCATCAGCTCTACATGCAGTTTGCTGTGATTGGTTGGTTGTCATAGAGGCTGTTAGGTGGCTTAGTAAAAAATGTAGTTTGGCTACAAAGAATCATCAGTGCAGGAACAAAACAGAAACAATTCTATAAAGTCATCAAGACAATCTCAGTCCCTTTATCCCCCAACACTAAAGGTAGTAAATTACTGAGCTGTGACTGTGAGAGACCAGCTCAAAGTGTGAGAAAACATTTTCAGTTGCAGTTACTGTGAAATCTGAGTGTTTGCAACTAATTATCAAAAGTTTCAATGAATRTATTAAATTAACGTAATAATAGATCAAATAAGTTGGAGAGCTCATCTACAAATCATAAACATGATGAAATAAGACAAAACATATCCTGAACCACAAATCACTCCATGTTTTACTGTGTATCAGTGTCATCATGTCTAAACTGTTGGGACAAGCTTCAAGGCAGCTCTTAGAAAAGTTACAATTATCTTCACTAACATTATCGATGAATAGAGTCAAACTAACCTAGGCAGAAAGGAACAATCAAAAATACTAAAATTCACTGATTTGGTTCAYTTTTTTACCCTTACAAATAAGGTGTAAAACAAAACAACATACTTTCTGCCAACATATAAAACCATCGGTTTTCTACAGAAATAGAAAAAATAATTAGAGGAGAAGTTTTTATTTAAAGGTTCCTCTTGATTAAAACCACTAAAGAACCACTGCTTTTCTGTTTGTGGAGGAAAACTGGAATAAACTCAGAGTTCAGTTCAAAAAGGGGGACAGAAAAATGGTTTTTATGAGGTCTAGAGATGAGGACAGCTAAAATATGAGTGTGTATGTGTGTTTGTATAAATGCATGTGTGTGGGCACGTTTTTCCTRCATCGTGGRAACCATTTTCCCAAAAAAGCAGCCTCGTGGGGACCGAATGTGCATTGYGGGGACCAATGCCCAGTCTCCACGGGTACAAATGCAAATTACAGGTGGGGGGTTGGGTTTAGGACCAAAGTGTGAATTGAGTTTAGGTTAGTTTTAGGGTCAGGTACCTGTGAGGGTAATTTTAGGGTAAGTGGTCAGGGTTAGGATATAAAATTATCAGAAAACAAATGGAAATCAATTCACAGTCCCCATGGAGATGTAAAAACCAGACTGTGTGTGTGTGTGTGTGTGTGTGTGTGTGTGTGT